CTGGAGGCGGAACAATTGGGCCCGGGAATTGAAGTGGAAAAAAAAGTCTAATTTTGGACGGAAGAAGGTTTCGGAGGGTGACAATTATTATGAGAGGGACTTTATTCTTTGGAGGGGGATAGGCAATTGGGGAACGGAGGAGGCAACTTTTGTTTTGTTTTTTTAGGGCGAAAATCTCTGGAGAAGCAAGGGAGCAGTGAGCAGCAGCAGGCGATTAAGAATTTGACGATCGACTTCTTCAAGGCTTGAGTTGAGTTCAACGAGAGCGATTAGTTGGTTGGATTCTCTGAATCGAATTAGTTGTGTATTGTTGATTTAGAACATGATGATCAAAACCCTAATGTTTTATCTTAATTTCGTCATGAACTAAACCCCGATTTCTGGGGGAAACACCATAGGATGTAGCTATTTCTTGATTTGATGGATTGATTCATGATTCTTTTCTTCCAATCTGTATTGCATGAAATTGCTTAATGCTTTGTGTTGACTGGCCACCAATACAATGAATCGTAGTTAATTAGGTTATTAGCGACAGTGAAACCCTAATAACTGAACCTATTTCATGTGACATGGTAACTTATCGAAGTGACAGTGGATTAAATAAGGTGCTATGCGGTCTTAAATAGGATATCGATCTTCAGACTATATAGTTAATTCATTGAGCTACGACAGTAGGATTTGAATTGATTATTTAGTACGTAGTAATTCCCGACAGGGATAGCTAGCAGAGTAGTGATATCCTGGCTGTAGAGATATGGATTAAATTGATTGGAATATGTGAATAAATCTGGATAGGATAGGTAGTTAATTCTGGTGTTTCTCCCAGAGCTTGCTGCCATTGTTTTAAACCCGACAAGTTTACTTTGCTTAATTAGTTTAATTATTTTGCTAGTAGTTAATAATCTCATTCAACCATTTTGACCTATAGTTTGCTTCATAAAATTGATAGAACTTGAGATTGTACCAGTCCCTGAGAGACGATACCCGGACTTTCCAGTTTACTACGAGATAGGAAATTGGCATCTACGCTTTTGCCCTATCACTGCTAATCTGAGGGAGGAGGGGCGATCGAAAGGTGGAAGGATTTGATCCCCTGGACTTGGTGGCATGAAGATGGAGGAAGAGAGGGAGAAGGATAAGGCGTGGAGGCGGAGGAGAAGGATGAGAGTGGCAGAAGGGTTTTTGGGAATTTGAGATTAAACTTTTTTTTTTCAATCGGGTCATATAGAGAAAAGGTTGGTTGGTTGGGTTTGGTTTTGGGTTAGCTTGGATTGGGGTATCTTTTGTGGCGGGTCGGATTTTGAGTATTTTGGGGTTAAAATTTGGTGATTGGACACTTCTGTTAGCCACATCAGCAAATAACGGGTTAATGCTACATTTGGTCACTGTGATTACTAAATTGTGTCATGTTTAGTCACTAGAAAAAATTAATATCAAATTTGGTCACTCTAATTACTAAAACAGGTCACATATAGTCACTCTCCGTTAGTCTCCATCCAACTCCGTTAATTGAGTCTGTTATGTGCTGACGTGGCTAACGGGAACGCATAGTCAGCTCCATTTTGGACCAAAAATGGTCAAACCCAACCCGTCACATCACTAAACCCGCCATGTCATACACCCAACCCAACCCATTAACCCAACCCTAACCCACTTAAAAAAACCAAATTGGAAAACCGATCGTGTTAGTGGCAATTTCATACCAAAACCCTTTCTCCTTCCTCGCCAAGCTCTGCTCGTTTCTCGAATCAATTCACCCACAAAAAAAAAATCCTCAAATTCAGTCCCCCCAATTTGGATTTGAGGGAGTAGGAAGGCACGGCGCCGGAGATGACGCACTGGACGAGCACCTCATCGTCCTGGGGCAATAATTGATCCATAGGGACGGCGGCTAGGTCAGGAGTGGCGGCGAAAATTGCACAATCAAGGGATTGGGGGCAAGCGGCGACGAATCCACTAGCGGGGCCGTCAATAGATTCGTCGTTGTCGTCCGTGCGGAGGAGGAAGGACTGGACGAAGTCGATGCCAAAGAAGTCGAGGAGGTAGACAAAGGAGGAGAGGAAGGCGAGGATTTCGAAGAAAGTGAGGACGTCGAGAGGGGTTGATGTACGGATCTTCTCCTCCAGCGGGTGAGGAAGTAGACCGCGGAGAAAAAGAGGGCGAAGAAGAAGGCGTTGGTGACGTAGAGTGGGAAGGGGAGGGCGTCGGAGTCCTGTGGTGGTTGTCTTCTCGGTAGTCGGCGGCGGGAGAGGAGGCTTTCGGGGGTCATAGTGGTGATGGTGGAGGCGTTTGAGGGACTGGGCAAGTGGGTTTTTGGTGGATCAGCGAAGGGGATCCATTGTTGGATAAGGAAAGGGATTCTGATCGGGAGCTATTTTGGATGGATGATGAACCATTTTTTTTTGTGTATGGGGGGAATTGATTCGAGGAAGGGGCAGAGCTTGCGCGTGGAAGGAGAAAGGGTTTGATTCTGGGTCGGGTTGGGTTGGGTGTATGACATGGCGGGTTTAGTGACATGGCGGGTCGGGTTTGACCATTTCCGGTCCAAAACAGTGCTGACTAGGCACTCCCGTTAGCCACGTCAGCACATAACGGACTCAACTAACGGAGTTGGATGAAGACTAACGGAGAGTGACTAAATATGACCTATTTCAGTAATTAGAGTGACCAAATTTGATATTAATTTTTTCTAGTGACTAAACATGACACAATTTAGTAATCACAGTGACCAAATGTGGCATTAACCCAGCAAATATCTAACGCCGTTAATAAAGACTAACGGAAGTTAACAGAGAGTGACCAAACTTGGACCGTTTAAGTAATCTCAGTGACCGTGAATGAAATTAAATATTTTTAGTGACCAGATATGAAACTGTTTAGTAATCTGAGTGACCAACCTTGTCATTTACCCTTTTTATATTTTCATAAATTAGTTCACATAAGTAAAACAATTCAAAAAATTAGAAAGAAGAAAATGTATTTTTATATTAGACAAGCGTAAATACATGAGAGTTGTAACATTCCTATGGGTAATCCATTAGTTGGATATTTCTTTTCAATCTACACGATACCAAATTATGTGTTTTTGTTGAGATTGTTTATTTTTCAATGTCTACGTAGGATTTTAAGGTCCATCAAGCTTGCCCAAACTTATTATAATTGTTTTAAAGTGATGCATTTTGGAGATTTTCCAGGTTTATCGATCTTCACAATATTTGTGTTCTCTTCATTTAAGTACTGTTAGTGATAGATATTTTATCTAATTTATGTCTCATATTGCACTAATAATTTCATTGTGTGTTGAAGTGTTAGATATCGGGCGTCAAGGGCGATCTCCAAAGATTTAAAATATGCTATTGCAAGCAAATATGACAACGTGATGTCACTTTTTGAAATATATATATTGGGCAATAATGGGGTCTTCTCATTGACTTCTCTAGAGGTAAACTTGACCAACATGTAATTGCATGAACGTGGAGTATATGTTCATTCTATTGGAGGTTAGATATATCATCCAATTGTAGTATGGTACCAACTGCAGGGAACAAACGAAACTTTGCTAAACTCTACTTGCATGACACCAACAATGAAGTCCAAAACCATTTAAATCTCTTCTCCACAAATTCTAGATACATTACAAAAATGTTTATAAACAGTCTTACATGAGATTTTTGTAATAGCTTATGTATGAATTTTTAATACTCATTACGTAAAATATCATCTTCTACGTGAGACTTCTGTAACTTCTTAACCTATAAGGGTTATGTTGTAGCAAAATAAAGGGGTTATTTATGCATGGGAGTACCATAAGACTGTTACAATTATAAAGTTGAGGGCAAGTAATGTTGCAAGGGCGTAGGATTTTGTTTCAAGGGGACAACTGGAATATAGTAGGGATGGCAAAAATATCTGTAGCCGTGGATATCCGCTCGAATCCAACCTAATCAGGTAGGGTAAAACTCGAACCCGAATGACTTTTAGTGGGTACGGGTAAAACCTGAACCCGAATATCACGGGTACTGGGTGGGCATGGTTTTCTCACTATCCAACCCCAACCCGCCCGATTATACGCATGCTATGTATTTTTTTCTAGAAATAATCAATATTTTTCTCTAACATATTTTATATTTAGCATATAAATATAATATTTTTATGAAATTTGTTGTTTTAGTTAATTTTCTTCGCTCTAGTGAATTATTGTCGTACATTTCATCTTACGTAACGTAAGAATATGCGTGAATATTAACATATTGGTTGGAGTTATAAAGAGAAACTTTTACCCATGGATAACCGTGGATACCCGAACGAATATGGGCATGGTTTGAATTTTCTACCCATTTCTTATATAGGTATGGGTATGGATAAAACCTGGACTATTTTGGGTAGGGTAACGGATATGCACTATCCGTCCCCGACCCGACCCATTGCCATCCCTAGAATATAGGGAAGTCTAAGACAAAAAATTTAATAATTTGTAATGAAAAGTAGTAAAATAAAGTGTGGTTATATAATATTTTGTAGAACTTGGCTCCTTCGCATCATTGTACTATGTAAAATAAACTGGGTTCAATATCTAGTACTATGTAAAATAGTGCGGAATATCAAGATGACAATGATTTACGTAGTTTTGTAAATATCGGGACTAGACCAAGAGAGCTAGGGCTCTCAGAGAGTTTTCACTATGCTATAGATTTTGATGTCTGCGTTGGTTTCTACAAGGAGAAGATGGCCGAACCTTATACCCTCTACAAGTATCTAGCCTCTAGGTATAGCCGTATAGGTGGCTAATTACATAATACTATACAAATTACAAAGAACTAAAACAGTTCAAATCAGTCCAATAAGTATTAATCTAATTTCGCCGAGAAAGAAAATTTGAATCCCAAGAAGATATAATTCATTAAATTAAACTATGAAAAATTTATGTGTGGTCATACTCATATGGTGGTTATGACTTATGTATTACTAAGAGTAGGAGGATCCGCTCCCCACCTTTACCACTAAACCAAGGGCACACTAAGGCCTACACAAGCAGAAACAAAAAAGAGAAAAAAGCAGAAAAGAAGGAAACACTGATTCATGAATGTCGAATCCCCAATCCCAGCAGTCCCATTTTCAGATTCAATCTTCTTCTTCTTCTTCTTCTCCGCCTTCAAGCTCCGAATCTCCACTTCCTTCTCCTTTATAACCCTGCTCTGTTCTTCAACCACCCTGTTCTTCTCTTCAATCACTTCCCTCAGCAGCTCTTTCACACTCTCCTTCTCCCACATGACCTCCTTATTCTCCTCCAAAATCCGCTTGTAGTGCCCCACAATCTCCTCCTTCTCCGCCGCCCTCAAAACCGACTCTCGCAACTTCTTCCTCTGTTTCTCGGACTCCGCCGCCGTCACCTTCCGCCTCTCCTCCGCTGCCACGTAATCCACCATCACCGCACCCCTGGCCACGTAGCGGTTCCACACGGTGGTCATCGCCGGCTTCACCCCGTACTTCCCCCAACCGAACAAGTTGTTCAGCTTCGCCATCTCGCTGCCTCCGATTACGAATCCACCAGCTCCGTTCCCGTTCTTGTTCCAGTACTTGACCTGGTAGCCGTCGCGGTTGACCAGAAGCTTGGAATCGAAGAGCTCGTCCCGCAATTTGTCCAGGTCGCCGCCTTCGATCACCGTCCCGAAGATTTCTAGCGCTCTGTGTACCATCGTCCCCCGCGGAATCGTCGCGCCGGTGAGTTTGTTGGCAGTTATGGCCGCCACAATCTTCCAGGTCAGTGAGGAGTAGGAGGCGTGATTCAGATCAGTTCCGGCGTCGATTACCAAGATGGCGCCCTCGCCGGTGCCGCAGATGAACAAGGCGTTGGAGTTCACCACAAATCGCGACGACGACGACGACATTGATGCTCTGTTTGCTTGCTTGCTTCCTTGCCGCCAATTCCGCTTGAGGCTACACTTCATACAGCCGCCGATTGCGATTTGGGAATTTATAAGGAAAATGAAACCCTAGACTACCGCACCATAACCTAGTCCTAGTACGGGGCGGAGAAGGAGAATCGCCGTGGAAACGCGATGGGAGGGAAAGTATTATGAAAGGGAAAATATCCAAAATAGTTCCCATATTATTGGTATCTTTATTAATCCTTATCTTTTATTTTATTTTATTCAAAATGGTATGCACTTCAATATTGTAAGTTCATCTAATTCACTGTAGTGCAGGAGATTAATTTGGTTTTTTTCTCTCATTTAGCGAGAGTAGTGTGGCGGCGGAAATCCTAGGGTTTTTCCGGGTTTTGGCGAGATTTCGATTACGTGGTGGCCACAGAGTACGATTTCGGTACTGAAAGAGTTAAAGGGGAAGAGTTACGTCTTTATAGAGACTACAATCACAGACACTGAGATTTAGTGGGGTTTTTTTCATGAGGGAAGGTCATAGTTCTTGAGGAAAGCATTTTGACGACTACAGCAAATACACGACGAGATTGTTTGTAATAGCGGCGATGGCAGATTTAGAGCAACTGCGTAATACAGCAAGAACCCATGAGATAACTCAGAAAACTACAGATCCGACGAAGGATTTGGAGGAGAAGCTTGATAATATCAACCTCCTGGAAGATGATGAGGAACCATTGGAGGTGGAAGATGCTGATGTAGATGTGGTGAGGATGGAGGCGGTGCGCCGGCTGGGTTTGATTGGACGTCTTGTGGCTGATAAACAACCTAACATAAAGTCAATGAAGATAGCGTTAGCAAAAGCATGGAACCTAAAAAGGGATTCCAGACCACAGATCTATAAGACATGTTTATTGCTTTCCAATTCCTAGATATGGATGATCGAAACAAAGTCTGTTATGGAGGGCCGTGGCACTATGAGAACAACATAGTTGTGTTCATGGCAAGTCATCTTATTGAAAAGCCAACACTAGAGGACATTCACATGACTGATATACGGATCCAGATAAGAGGCTTACCAGTTGAGATACAGACTAAGACTATGATAGAGAAGATAGGGGCCAGGTTTGGATCTTTCGCCTGGTTTGATGAGTGTCCAGGGACCATGTGGGATGACTAAATGAGACTCAGAGTCAGTTTATCTATCAAGAACCCTCTAAAGAAGAAGCTTAAGCTAACCATTGGAGGAAAGCTGGAAGAATACCTAGTGAGATTTGAAAAACTTCCAATGTTCTGCTATTCATGTGGCAGAATTGGTCACCCAAAGCTGAGATGTCCATTTCAGCCTCGACCACCTACTGACCCTTTTGGGATGGAATTAAGGGCAGGAAGTCTTGGCCCCCGCAATTGGCTATCATACACTGCAAAAAAAGAGGATGCAGAGGTTTGGGCGTTGCTTAGATAGAAATTTGAGATGGAGAGTATGAGATCAAACTCAGATCATGAGATCCCACCTGCACAAGAGATTGAACACATGGCTGTGGACTCGAAGCCAAAAACTGGGACACCACCTGTGATGGAACAGGAAAAGGTTGAGAAGGTTGGAGACAATAAACCCAGACTCATAATGCTCAATTCAAGGCGGCACAACCACATGAGGAAGCTAAGAAAACAACTACAAAGCAAGTGAAATTAGGAGGCCAGATGGGAGTGTAAGAGCCTTAGAAAACCTTAGTTGCATTTGTATTATTGAAGTGAATTTATACAATGAGACTCTCAACTAATAGCTATTCCTAAGGAAACCAATTCTCCACTAACACAAACTTAGGAACAGAAGAACAGAATGGCAACAGTCACAAACGAAGAGAGAGGGGGAAGTGGAGAGGTAGTTGCCGAGAATGTCTCTCCCTTATCACGCCCCCGCAAGTGGAACCTCAGCGAAGTGAAACTTGGAGCAGAAACTTCGAAAGGATTGTCGTGTGAGAGGCTTCGTTAGAACATCCGCTAGCTGATCAGTAGCCGGAAGATATCGGACATGGAGTTGTTGCTTGTTAACCCGATCACGTACAAAATGAAACTCGATTTCCAGGTGTTTAGACCGTGTGTGAAAAACCGGATTGTGAGCGAGATATGTGGCACCGAGGTTATCACACCATAGAACCGGTGATGCTGATGGAGATTGGCCAAGCTCATCCAAGAGCGCTTGTAACCAAATAACCTCGGAGGCAAGCGTCGCAAGTGCCCTGTATTCGCATTCGGTGGAAGAGCGGGCCACCGCTTTCTGTTTCCGAGTGGACCAAGATACCAAATTTGCACCATGGAAAATAGCAAAACCAGAAACAGATTTCCGATCTTTGGGACAAGAAGCAAATGATGCATCCGAATAACCATGTAGATGGGAATCAGCTGATGGTTGGAAGAGAAGGCCCTGGGTAAGTGTACCTTGTAGATAGCGCATAATGCGCTTCACGGCTGCCCAATGAGCATCAGAGGGTGACTGCTGGAACTGAGAGACGTGATTGACCGCAAATGATATATCGGGCCGAGTAAAGCTCAAATATTGGAGACCCCCAACGATACTTCTGTACAAGGTTGGATTCTCAAATGCTGGAGAAAGATCTGAGCCACTTTGTATGAGCTGATCAGGCGTGCAGGGAGTGGAAATAGGCTTTGCTTGAGACATTCCCGAGCGTTCCAGCAGCTGTAGGATGTACTTTCTCTGGTTGAGGATCAAGCCTGATGGAGTATAGTGAACTTCTAGGCCAAGAAAATACGACAGGTGACAAAGATCCCTCAGAGCAAAGCGAGATCGAAGATGAACCTTCAGTTGCTGGATTACTTTCGAATCGGTGCCTGTGATGACCAGGTCATCAACATAGACCAACATATAGAGAACCACAGAACCAGCCCTGTAGATGAATAGTGACGGCCCTGTAGAGAACCAACAAAGCCGAAATCCCGAAGAGCTTGAGATAGACAGTGGAACCAAGCTCGAGGCGCTTGGCGTAAGCCGTAAATTGATTTCCGAAGTTGGCAGACATAATCTGGGTGTTCGGGATCAATAAACCCAACCGGCTGACGCATATAAACTTCTTCTTGAAGAGAGCCGTGTAAGAATGCATTTGATATGTCGACCTGATGTAGAGGCCAAGCTTGAGAGACGGCAATTCCCGGCAGAAGCCGTAGTGTGGCTGGTTTCAGAACAGGGCTGAGGTATCGCCGAAGTCAAGACCGGGTATCTGCTCAAAGCCACGTGCGACTAACCGGGCTTTCTCGCGTTCGAGAGTGCCATCTGGATTCGTCTTCTCTGCAAACACCCAGCGATTAGACAAAAGATTACAATCAAGAGGAGGGGGAACCAAGTCCCAGGTATGGTTGCGAACGAGAGCGTCAAATTCGGTGACCATAGCCGCCCGCCATCGGGGTAACTTCAGTGCCTGAGCTGCAGTAGAAGGCACGCCAGATGGAGTTACAGCGAGATATTGTCGGGGTTTGAGCTTGCCTGTCTGCGTGCGTGTAATCATACGCCGGGGAGGTGTGGATGCAGAGGATGGCACAACGCGGGGAGACGTATTGAAAGGAGGACGGTTGGCGAGGGTGGAAGAGGTGGGAGGCTTAAGAGAGGGGTGCCGACGAGGAACAGTTGGGGGATGAGGGGGAGTGGGCTGGATAGAAATGCTGGGGGAAGGAGGTTTCGGGCGGCGATGATAGTGCAAAAGGGGCGGCGGGGAGGGAGTAGGTAGGGGTTGGCGGCGGCGATACTGAATCAACGGGGGAAGTCGCGGGCGAGGAGGCTGGGTAGGAGAAGCTGGGTCGGGTTGGGGAACAGGGGAAGTGGGATGGGTAGGGGTATTGGGTTCGGATAGGGTTGTCGGTAAAGTGGGCTGGGTAGTGGTATTGGGTTCGGGTTGGGATGTGGGTAAAGTGGGCTGGGTAGTGGTATTGGGTTTGGGTTGGGATGTGGGCTGGGTAAGGGGGGCTGGGTCGGATGAGGGTATGGGAGAAGTGGGCTTGGAGAGGGGTGTTGTGGGCTCAGTGTGACCCTGCGTGGGCTGGGGGGAGTGCGGAGATGGTGAGGTTGGGAAATGGGTAGGCGTAGGGGCAGCCAAGGGTAAGGGGCCAGGAAGTGTAACTGGGCCTGAAAGAAACAGATCAGAAGAAATATGGATATTTGGGTCAAGGGGAGTATCCTTGTACGGGAATACTGATTCATCAAAGAGAACATGGCGACTGACATGAATACGACCAGTAGAGCGATCAAGACACCGATAACCTTTATGTAAACCACTATATCCCAAGAAAACACAAGGAGTGGATCGAGGTTGTAGTTTGTGAGAAGTTTGAGGCCGAAGCCAAGGATAACACAAACAACCAAAGACACAGAGATTTTGAAGATCGGGAGATTTATTGAATAGTGTATAGAAGGGAGAATGATTTTGGAGAAGGGGAGTAGGAGTGCGATTGATGAGGTAACACGCGGTATCAAACGCCAGAGACCAATATTTGAGCGGAACATGGGCCTGATGAAGCATAGCAAGACCATTATTAAGAATGTGACGATGTTTCCTCTCGGCACATCCATTTTGTTCGGGAGTATAGGGACAAGAAGAATGATGAGTAATGCCATTGGCAGCAAGATAGGAAGATAAGGCTTGGTATTCACCCCCCCAATCAGATTGAAAGGTTTTGATGGGGAGACCGAAAAAATTTTCAACAAGTTGACGAAATTGGATGAAGACATTTAGAAGTTGAGATTTATAGCGAACAAAATACACCCAGCTGAACTTACTATAGTGATCATAGAATAACACATAATAAGATTGATGATCATAAGAGAGAATAGGAGCTGGGCCCCAAAGATCACTACAAATAAGTTCTAATGGTGTAGAAGCACGATATGAGGATGAAGGAAACGGTAGTTTGTGAATTTTACTAACAGAACAACCATGACACAAAGAATCAGGACTATCATGGTACTTTATTGAATGCGAAGACAAAAGATGTTTAAC